ATAGGGATCAACAACGAAACGTATGATTCAGTTTTACGTAGCGCGTAAAACGAAGATAAATGCAAACTATATTCTTGTCCATTTTATGTTGGCCTAAGGGAAGATATAACGGGCGATAGATCACGCCTGTATCAAGTTAACGAGCGTACTCTGTAATTAAGGGAATATTCGTTCTATTAAAATAATCGTAATTTACGTTGTCTGTTGTCTTTCTCTCTCTCTCTCTCTCTCTCTCTCTCTCATTATTTTTTTTATTTCCCGTTTCTTTCTTTCGCAAAGCGATCGGAGATAGAGAAAAAAAGAAAAAAAGCAGAGCTATCGTTATTACCGAGAGCATAAAGCCGTAAGACAATAATTAAGTGGTAAGGTACATAGATATTATTAAATCAAGTAAGTCCCAGTATACGAGAATACCACAAAGATGAATATTTAAATACATAATATGAATTATGGTGTAGGAAGATGCAAATGAGAGCTTGGTTATTCTTACTTGAGACTTCCAATGCTTCATTTCATTTCATTTCATTTCATTTACTTCAGAAAAAAAAGGTAAAAAGAGAAAAAAATATAATAATTAATTGCTTGCAATCGAAGTGCATTAAGAAACGATGTTACCAAGTCGTTTATTTAAATTTGCATTGGATTGATGCACCCCCCCCCTATTTCTGTTTCTTTATACTGTTCATTCAAACACCTTTTACATTTTGTCTCTGTTTTATTTGTTCTTCCATTTAATTTCTCTTTTCTTTCTATTGAAATCATTTTAACAGGAATCTTCTTGCTATCAAGCATCTAACAGTCAAGTTTTCTCTTATGGATACGTTCGCATTTTCCATCGAACGATGACCATGCGGGCGATTACCCAGCTAGTAAAAGAAAAAGTTTGATGGTAAAACGTTTGACGAGCCTAAGAAGAAACGTCTTATTAATGCGAATCGAAATGTCCTTTCTATTGATTTTTTTTTGTCTTACCTCTTTATCTTTATTTTGTTTTGTTGTTGTTGAAGAAATGCATTATTGTAATTTGAAAATCTTACAAAAACGTTTACTTAATTTGGTACTTACGTATTAACGCCACCGCAGCAAAAATTCCGCTAATGCGCCAATAAAGAGCAATCTTGTTGTTCGCACACAACAATCTTGTTGTTTACACACAGTAACCGTAAGGGTTGCGTCAGGGTTTCGTCAGGGTTATGGCGACAGCATCAGGTGAAAGAAAATAGAGACTGTTTTGAATCTATATTAAATTATATATCGGTCCATTTTCCACCGAAATCCGATTGTGTGACTACTTTTTATAAATAAAATGTTTTGAATTTTGAAAGTGTTTCGATTTTAAATAAAGTTTTTTATTCTATGATTTGTCGCAACAATTTAAGGTGTAGATTGGCGCATTAGCGGAATTTTGCTGCGGTAGCGTTAATACGTAAGTACCCTTAATTTTATTCGCGAAGTCGTGTAAATTATAAGATTTTATAATGAGTAGTTGACAAAAAAAATGTTTTTAATTTGGTAAAACAACTTTTGAGATAATCTATAGATACTTCTATTTATTTTTTCTACCACACTATTTTTTGTATATTTTTTTGCAAAACGTCAAACCTTAAAGTGGATTGTCATTAGCCTGATAATAAGATTCAAAGTGACAAAACAATTTACTTACTAACGTCAAATAAGATTAATCGTAACGAATATATTAAGAAAACTAACTCTTCACGTTTTAACATTCAACGATAACGAAGAAAAGAAAAGGAATGAAATCTAGATAAAAGACAAACCCATTAAAAAATCATTATGAGCGTATTCAAACCTTGACGGAATTCGTCCAATTAGGATGATCGATTCAATCTCGTTAAATAATAATAATACCAAATGGAACGAACGTCTTGCAAAAAAAAAAAAAAAAGAAAAAAAAACACTTCAAAAATAAAAAAATAAAATACTTAAAGAAACAATTCACCTATTCGTTATGAACGTGAAACGTAAAGGTGTTCTTTAAAACGCTTTGTTTCTTCTTCGGTTATAAAACTCAGCAGAGGTTACCGACACGTTTATTATAATAAGTTAACACGTCGTTGATTCGATAAACATCGACGAAACGTTCTGTGTGTATTCGAGACAAGCCCTGTAAAAGATAACTGGATATGATATAACTATACTCGTGGATAACGCACGAGTAAGAACGACAGTAATGATTTATTAACGACGTTTCGTTATTAACTACTTACATTAATCGTTATTTATACCTCGTTTATATACTTCGATCCCATATTTAAAAATCGATTACGCAAATAGATTTTATGAAATAAATCCTATCTTCCATTTTTCTCTTCCCACCCCACCCCTCTATTTTTTTTCAATTTTTATTTTTCGATCTTGAGATAAACTTTTTATCTCATAATTATTCATAAGGAAGTATTATCATTCGAATGATCGATTACTATTTTACAAATGATATATGTACGTGATTATTACTATGTAGATTGTTTCGCTAATTGATCTGAGAGTTTTTTCTTTTTTATTTTTAACTTTTTTTATTGTTTTTTTTTTTTTTTGAAATAAACAAGTGTTCCAAGAGAGAGATAAAATTATATAACATGCAAATATATAATCAAGTTATTCGTAACGATCAACTAAAGATTCGATTGATTTCTTGATTAAAAAAGACACATACACGTAGTCAACTTATTATTTAAACATTAAGAACAATTTATTCAGTTAAAATAACACGTAGCAAATACACAAAGGAATAGTTATTTTAAGATACATTTATGCAAGCAAAGTAAAGATCAACAACGTTTGATTTCTGATCCAACGAATGTGATGCATTATCGTGTTGATTTCAAGAATCAACATTAAATGTAACAGTATATACATATATACTTTCCTAAAACACGGACAACAGAGTTTATCCTACGTTTTACTACGTTTACTTTGTCTTCTAATCCATTAATATATAACATTATCGAATAACTATTATTTTATACAATTCCATTTCTGATTAAACTATTTGCAAATACATTGAACGTATGTTAAATGCATTTCAAATGTTTGCCTCTCATTAAATCGATTTATTGCATAGTATTACATACCTTTTAAAATCACCTGCCGACGTATTCGATCGTTATTTTATACGTTTGTTGAAAGAAGCGATAACGTGTTTATTCGACGATATTACCTTTTTCAGATGGAATAAAATCGATTCAATATGAACAACGGTGTATATAATTTTGTTATCGTCAAAGTATCGTCGTCTTGTATAACTCTATAAAAAAGAATTTCACGTCGTCAGGTGCACGTTTATCATCACATTTAAGAACGGTGGTCGTCTTTTCCTGAGAATATTCCCCCATTCCCTCTCTTCCCCTCTCCCCAATATAAGAAGAGTGTATTCCACAGAAAGATAAACTCCCCCCAATCGTAATTTTCTTCGTCAACTCGAAGCCGGATGTTTGCAAAAGAACGCGCCGAGCTAAAGTCTGAGCTAAAGTTTACGCCCCTCATAAAGTTCTACCACCGATTCATAAAGGTGAATGGTACCTGGGATGGCTTGCTAGGGAGAAAAACAATTTCCGGTAAAGCGAGGACTTAAGTAGTCGTGTTTATGAGGCGTCGTCGTGTGATGTTATGAAAAAGGATACGCGCCACTTTCTATATTTCTTTTCGAAAGAGAAGATCCTTTCGACAAAATTTATCACCAGTTCGATATTACAGTTTCTAGAGTATGTGTTCTCACGTTATTATATATATATATATTTAATTTATTTCAATTTATTCATTAAAATCAACGTCGTCTTTTTTTTATCACGATATTATGATGATTATTATAACAAATCGAAAATAAATAATCGTTGTTGGATAAATGGCAGATTTGAATTTTCATTCTGGAAAATAATCGATTACTATTCATTTAACACGATTAATTAGATAGTATAATCCTACGAAGTGAAGATAAATCAATGCTCATATATCTCTAGTTTTATCGCACACGTTACATGCATATATGTATACATGTATCGTAACGTCTAATAAATGATAGTCGATAAAAAGAAATATTGATACATAAATCTAAGCTTTTTTCTCTCCTCTTACTATATACGCGTCAACTAAAATTAGATACAAAATGAGAATTTCTCGCGTTGCAGAAGAAGATGCACGATGTTTCGAATTTTTCTCTCTTAGGGTTTTTATTTTGTTTCGTTTTTTTTTTTCTTTTTCTATTTCTTTTCCCCTCTTTCGCTGTATCTTTTCTCGTTTCAATTAAAACGAAGCGTCGACGAAGCGCAGCAAATTAGGGTACTCAGTGCGGAAAGACACGATAGTCGTCAGTCGAGATAAATTCCTGATGCACACACACTGTTAGGAAACCAGTTGGCCAGAATAAACGTACCGACCATTATTGGCGGCATGCCAGAGTACCTATCCTCGTGAGCATCGGTCTTTTCATCGCAACACGCTTTGAACGAGGCGGATAGATTGATGCATACCTTAAAAGACGGGGACGAGTGATCCGAATGATTTGAATACTCCTAATGCAAGGCGTGATTGAAATTTTCGCAACCTTAATCGTTGGCGAACATTTGACGAGCGTTCTCGCCATTTCAAAGTCGTTTCTCCCTTCTTCTTTTACATTCAACACACAAAGGAAACAGGAAAATACTGTTATATACAATTTCAAACTAATCGATTTGACTTATCTTATTCTAATTTTATTTCTTATTCTTTAAAATGTATAAAAAAATTGTATCCAATATGTTGTTTTTTTAAATTATAAACAAATAACCATTTCTTATGCGTTCGAAAACCAATCAAGTTATTTGAACGGTGAAAATATTTGATTATAAGAGCTATCGGTTTACAAGGGACAAGAATAACGTCGTAGGTAATTTGAGGTGGATCGAAGAGAAATGTGGGTTAGTAACATCGAGTATGCTCCTTCAGCAGTAGCAGCAGCAGCAGCAGCAGCAGCAGCAAATCCAGCTAGTTCGGCGAAACGTCGAGTAGCGACAACTAATAAATTCTAATTTAAAATCAGTGTCGCAAGAGAAGGTTCTTCTAAGAGCGGGCCATTTCTCAGTGTGTTACTCGTGCAGCTCATTCGTTTCACCGTCCCGAACCGGCGTAGCCGTCGTTCCTGACACCGTGATAAACAGCCGCCTCTGTCGTAAGTCAAGTCGGTATAAAATCTCGGACATTACTCGTTCTAGAGAGAGAGTTTACTAAGTTGGAACAACTTGACAGGGCGGATATAGTTAGCGTTAGATCTTAAGCAGCAGCACCACCAATACCAGCACCACCACCACCACCGTCCGTCTCCTTTCATTCGTTATTCTTCAAATTCCACGTCAATGGTATTCGACTTTTGTTAGAGTAATAAAATCGTGCTCCTGCTTATTTTTCCTCCCTTCTTTTAAAAAAAAAAAACGTTTAGGGAGTCAAGCTACGTCTCGTAAACCATCCAATTCTAATGAAGTAGACGATAATGTAAATTACTCGGAACGAAACTACCCAAAGGAGTCTTCTTTTTCTCTTTCTCTTTACTCGATCTCACTGGAGAAGAGGAGAAAATTAAAATCCGTATTTCTATCGAACGCGAAGAGACTTAAGAATTGATTAAATTACACTTGGTAATACAGCTGCTACCGTGATTCGAAATTTGTCCGTTTACCGACACGTAATCCGTTCCAAGAGATCGATAAGAGAGTGAGTTACACGAGTTGCTTGTAAATGAGTTGAGATATCGATCAGGATCTTAAAGAAGTATATATAAGACTCATCCAAGTGACGGTAGGAAGAGAGATAACGTACTTAGAAAAGGAAATATACTGTTTTCGCACGCGAAGAAAATACATATAACACCATCCTACGTCTGAAGATGAGAACAAAAACGCGTTTGTTTAGCAACGATATTATTCGTTCAATTTGGAAAAAATATGTACAACAAAGTTTACTCTTAGGTGCAGGACACATAACGTCGGCTATGGCAGCAGTCATAAAATCTTTAAAATGCAAAGCTACAATGAAATTGTGGGCACAAATGTAACCCTCTGGTAAGGTTAATCTGGCGAGAGCATCGCGACGCCTGGCTAATGGCACGTCCGACGGTTGCGTGCCAGCATTTTCAGCCAAGCAGTCGTCGAGCATCCGTCCTGTTCAGAAGAGGGAAGGAGGCTCAGCCAGCCGGCTGAGTGATGAAGTGAGTGTAGAGTGAGGCCTATTTTTGTGCTTACCGACAAACAGCCTCGTAGATCTCATGACACGTCGTTAGAAGCCCACGAAAATACATTCGATGTTACTCCAAAGTGCTTAGAGATATCCGGAGAGAAATAGAGAAAGTGTGTATCGTGTCTTTGTTAGTTTATTCCAAGAAACAATAAAGTCTTCTCAATCTTTTTCCTACTCTCTGGGGGTAGGATTTACCTATAGGATTTATACTTACAACCTTTCTATCGTTGTAATCGTTCGTGCAAACGTTCAATATACAATACAAACGAACCTTAACGTAACCGTGATATATCGTTAACTTAACTTTGTTACCAATAGGGATAAATCGTTTGGAAACTATACGGAACGGAACGGTCTTAATCGAATCTCGTTAATCTTAAGTTTTCACATAGATTAAACGTCTCTATTTGGACTAACGACAGCTTTTCTAACGATTATCAAAGTCGCCTTAGCACTTTGAATTCGTGCGATATTCAATTACGTCAACTACGTTCGTTGCGAAACGAAGCAAAGTCTCAAAATTAGGTGGCATCTTCGCGACCGATACGAATGCAGGAGAATTCGAATATGTGAAATCGTGTCTAACGAGCTCTAGGGATTTTCTAGCTGCAAAAGTAGCCTGCAAATGGTGGCAAATGATCACTGCGCTTGTACAAGTCTAATGGAACTAGAATTATCCAGTATGTGCGTTGTAATCTCTTTCATCTGTAAGCATTGCGCCAAGTTATTCCTATAACGTCGTGGAAAAACGGTATTTTGCTTAGCTCGTGTTACTCCGGACGCCTCCTGTTAGACGATATTCTTCCATCGTGAAAATAAATATGATTAAACCACAAAACGTGTCTTAGTAAAATGAACAAAGTAAACCCCCATTACCGATTGTAATACTTATAATGAGATAACATTCATATTCAAAAAATTTAACTCTTTCTATTATTTTTAAACTCAAAATTATTCGCTATTTTCTTTCATATTATCACGTTCATAGGGTTGTACCCACGTAACAACGATAAATTTCTACGAATGGATATAGACGAAAAATGTCGTTCAAAGATGACCAACCAAAATTCGAAAATTATTCGAATCTTTTATCGAGCACAACCTTTCGAAATCTATCACTTAAATAAAATGATGTAACGATAAAAATGATAAGAAACATAATCTTCATTTAATTGGACTATTGTAAAAAGAAAAAAGAAAATTTTTTTAAGCTGGTAGAACGAAAGGATTAAAAATTTTACCAAGAAACAAAAATACCCTAAATGCTTAATCTATGAAAGATATGAAAAAGGAAAGGATTTGGAGGATATGACTAGGAATAGGACGTACACTCTATATCAAGTTTTACATTGACTCTCCCCTTTCGTGACAGTTTACCACCGTGCTGCTGCATGCTATTCGTAGATGTTCATTTTACAAAATTATTGCCAACAGCTGTAGAATTTTTTTTTTCGATCGTTCCTCCGTTCGCTCTCCGAAAATTATCGTCCACCACCAGGCAAACACTTTACGACGAAGACACGAGCATAACCTTTTCTTCCGATCGAGGATTCTCTTTTATAAGTGTACACATAGTTGCATATGTAGATTTACATAGATATAAGTTGGAATATCTATCTGTGTGTACGTACTATCCATGTGTATGCATGTATGTATTCACATACGCTTACTTTTCCTTCACGATGGCAGGAGAAACTAATGATAAACACGATTCTTTGCAGCCATAAAGGGAAATTAATGTTCTGGATGGTAATGGTAAATGGGGTGGAAAGAAGACAAGAAATCGTAAGATAAACGACATCGGGATGTGCCGAAGGCTGGCATCTTTTATCGACGAAAAAGAAACGAAAAGAACAAAAAAGGTAAGAGTGTGAGAAGATATCGAAATTTGGTGTTAACTTTTGACCTTGGCTTCAAAAGGTCACTCCGTAGATAATCTTAAAGGTTTTACTTTGCTAACAGTTTTATTCGACAATTCGTCTTGTTTTAATAGGATAACAGAAAAGAAGTTTTATGCTTAGATGCATTCAGTTTATATATAAGTAAAGTGGTAACTATATATATATATATAAATGACTTCTTAAATGGGGATAAGCATTTAACTAGGATGCGTTTAACTTGCACATTTTTTTATTCTAAAGAAGCAAGTTCGTAAATGAGAATGAAATTTGAATCGATCGTAAAAGATGAAGGGTGGGAGGTTGGGGGGTTCTCTTCTATACAGTGAAAGGAAATGCACGAGGAAGCGATCGCGGATGATGAACGATCGAGTCGAGAGAAAATAAAGTGGTAGAACGTAGAACGGAGGAACGTCGATGGAAAGCATTCCCATCTATCAAGCCCATCCCCGATAATCATCGGTTGCCCGATCGAACACTCGAGTAGAAACAAAATCTTGTGAAACGACTAAAAAATGAGATCAACGTGTATTCCCCATCCTACCAGTCCTCCCACCTCTTCATTTCTTGCCTCTTTTTCTCATTTACTCTCTTTAAACGCTTCTTCATCTTCTTTTTCTTCTTCTTGTAACGATTAGCAAATTGAGAATATCGATGATGAGATGATATAAGAGATAGGAGATAATGATATTGAAAGTGTAGCACTCTGCTTTGAAACGTATTTAACGCACTATATTTATCGAGATGGATGGTGTAACTTTGTTAATTTTCTTTCCCATTTTTTTATTACTTATTCAAATACTTATTTATTATTAACATATTGAAAATAACGTGTAAAGTATATGGTAACGAATGGTATATTACTAAAATAATTCACGTTGAACTAAGCTTTGCAACATGATGGCAAATTTTATATCAAATTTTTTTCTTGTAACTCCATCAAAATTATTGAATATATTTATATATGAGCATCTGTTAAAGATATGCTAATACATATATACGTAATATTATATCAAGAATTTAAAAGCAAGGTTAAGGTGACGTTAATAGTAGACATCTTACTACGATAAAAGTAGTTATCATATCTTCGATCGTCAGACAAATTGGACATGGCAAGATGTTGTAGTCTACTCGTATTTAACTTGATAATAATCAAAAAGTAGATGACCATGTTGGAAATAAAAAAGAAAAATATATGTTACGGTCAATTTAAAGAATCCGGTGATTGTATAGAACCCCTTCTGTCTTTGTGCTAAGAAAGAAAAAGAATAATTATTTAACTTTGTGAGTAACTTTTTTACACACTTACAAATATATTTCTTTTCGAATTAACACAGTAGATAAGTGTAAAAGCTAGAAATGAATTAAATAGTTCATTAAGGTGAATTTTGCTGTTGTTGTTATTCATTCTCTCTTTTCTATCTTTTTCTCAGCGTATTTTCTACCATCCAAATTAATACATCTTACCGTAACAGCGTACGAAGAGAAACAGAGGTACCATCATTTATCACCTCTAAAGGTGTGTACTCGTATGTACCGGTATTATACGATCGTACCTAGAGAAAGAGAGAGAGAGAGAGAGAACGAAGCATATATCCCGTTAAAGTACGTGAAATCCAAGTGCTTTCAACTCCACCGCAGCCCACGACCATAACTCAAAGCGCTCGTCAGCTACGCTACATAGGAGTTAGAAAAATTTCATGGCTGACATCACCGCAACGCCGAGCTTTATATTTTACGCCATCTGTAAGAGGGAGTCTACGATCTCTAACAATCTCACTTTTGGATGCCCCTATTAATGAGTATATTATATTCGAGCGAGTGAACACGTTTTCACATACACATACAAGTTCATTATTCGTACATTGTATGCTATTATAAAGAAGATTCTACGATTCTTTCAAGTAATAACAAAGAACAAATATACATCATGATCATTTATAATAGATAATGAAATGCTTCTGCTTCATCTACTATCGATAAAATGATTCTTAAATGCATCTATATTTTTCTAATTATCAAATAACTGTCTTGATCTCTTTTAAAGTTATCTCCAAACGAATGAATAACAGTACTGAACAAAAAATTATGAAATATTAAGTTTGCAAGATCATGAAAGCTCGCAAGAAGACATCTAACGAGCGATGATTCAAAAGGATGCAGTTATATACCAGGTGTTACGTACATGCAGATATATACTATACATATATATATCATATACTCGTACATATATAGAGGTACGTAGAAACGGAGATCAGCATACGTCGCGTATTATTTACAATTGGCGGCGATTTATGTCTCTGGGCCGGATGAGGGCAGGAAAAACAGGCAGGCTACGTCATGCAGAGGCCGAATAGAGAGAGAAAGAGAGAGACAGAGAGAGGGGTTTACAGGAGGAGGAAGAGAGAAAGAGATGAAGGGAAGTTATGGAGAGAAAGAGAGTCAAGAGCACGCGCGAACGTTCTCCACCTAGCGAAAGGGAAAGAGACGGATGAAGGAGCAATAGGTGGGGGGATTGGGATGAGAGAGAAAGAGAGCGAAAGAGAAAAAGGGGCAAGCAGAGAGAGAGAGAGAGAGAGAGAGAGAAAGAGAGAGAACGTGGCCGCCTTGCCAGCCAATTCCCGGCGGCCCGCTATATTTACGAGGCCCATAAAGTAGCGGGCACGGCCGCGTATATTGCCGCGTAAATATCAGCTTATGGAAATATAGAGCTCAATATCTGCCTGCCTGCCTGCTCGCCTGCCTACCTACCTGCCTGCCTGCCTGCTTGCCCTCCTGCTTGCTCTCCTGTCTGCTGGTTGCTTTGCTTGCTTGCCTGCCTGCCTGCCTGCCTGCCTAGTCGATGCGTTTCGTTGCTTTTCTTCTCTCTTCCCACATTCGATGGCCGTCCCTGGAATCGAGATAGTTTTTCGCCTAGCTCGTTCATATTCGCCTATCTCACTCTGGAAAATAATCCTTCGTGTTAGCTCGCGAGAGTTTCCGTTTTTAAAAGGACGTATGATTTAGGTGCCACTCTCTTTTTCTTTCTCTCTCTCTCTCTCTCTCTCTCTCTCTATCTTTCCCTGACGTGAGCTGGTCCGAGATAAAGATAAAGGATAACCCGTTTGGTACGGGTTCCCTACATTAAATGTCGTACGCGTACGCACGCATCGTAAATTTCGCAAATCTTCGATAAACGCCGGTGGTGGTACGGCCCGTCTTGCAAAAGAGAGCCATGGAATGCTCGTTAAATTAAATCGCCGCGGATAAGCCAACGTTGTGTTCGAACGAGTTATGATAATTCGTTTTGCTGCGGCAAATACAGCCGCCGATACAACCAACCAACCAACCGATCTCCCCCTCTTTGATCAAAGCCAAAGCGTTACGTAAGATTTTCAGATGCAAAATGGAGGATGAATCTGCAGATTGGAATCTGTCATCGATAGTCGACATGAGTGCGATATCATTTCCATTCATATATGTATACGTATATTTATGTATGTATGTATGTATTCCACACGTGATGTGTGCACCGTTTGTAAGCATCCATTCGCATACCAAAGATTGCTGCTCAGGATGCGGCTAGTAATTTAATTACGAATCGATGATAAGTGCGAGATATCGACGGGAGTTAAATCGCCACAGGTAAAAGACGTCGTGAATTATCTTCGATCGAATCAGAGGTATGGATTTATTAAGGTGTACGAAAGCTCTCGCGGCGATTATAATTAATGCGCTACTCGTTCGAAGAATTATCATGCGCTAGTTTTACTACCTTACTATACTTGTCTCTATCTCTCTTTCTCTCATTCATTTCTTACATTTCTTCTTAATCTTTCAACTTTTCTAAGATTCTCGAACGTATAGAACCGGTTACTTATTGCAAAACGAAATATTTTATGCTTTATTATTGAAGACTACTACTTCGTTAAATGTTTATTACTTTACTTAGAGGTTTATACTAATCGTTTAAAAAAATCTTTACGACAACGCACTATGACGTTAAATATTAATTAAAAATCTACGAATAAGTGTAGAAGCTAAAGAAGAACACACCGTTCTTTTATGGTATATACCTTACCTGGTTTCTCTTCGATTCATAAGACAAACGATCATGAAATTTGCCGTATCAAGAGACAGTGTAACTACGTTACATCGAGACAAGGCCAATGAAATGCACGATCGCATGAAATCAGTCGTACTGTACCGAAGGATTTGCGGTGTACGCATACTCGAGCAGTTTCTAACAAAAGACAGAGAGAGAGAGAAAGACAAGTAGACAGACGGATAGACGAACAGACGGATAGACGGACAGACAGATAGATTGGGAAGAGAGAGAGAGAGAGAGAGAGAGAGAGAGTGACGAACGAACGGAGGTAGTACATACGGTTTGCGAGTCCAGCGCTTGGGTGACCGAGAAGAACTAGATGAGGACGCCTGTCGCTGGCTGACACCATTAGGGTGGCCATCCGTCACCATTAACACAGATGTCCGTGTGTTTCCGCGAACATCGCATTAATCACACCTATCCACATAAATTTCCTGACGGCGCGAACCGAGCAGCGAAAGCCGAGCGAGCACGCCCTGACACCTTAATGGATGATAAATCAGAAATTCATTAATGGAGAAGGGCACCGACGACGACGCCGACGTATTTACCAAATTGAATTCGATGCAAGCAAATGGTTGTATTTTAATTTCACTACGGTCCTTCACTACGGTAACGTAGAGAGAAAGAGAGAGAGAGAGAGTGAGTACATTTCTTTCATTCCTTTTTTTTTAAACTATCTCGAGAGTGGCATCTTTAAAAATATCTTTATTCTCTTAATACGACAACTCCCTATGTCTCAGGGGGGATCATGGTTATTATTAGCATTAGAAAAGCTTGTGGAACGATGTACGAAGACAAAGGAGATAAAACGTGTGGTGTGAGTCAGAATTTACATCTAAACGTTTCTTGGAAGCGTTTCTTGGATGATAATGAATCAGTTGGTTCGTTCGTTCGTTCGTTCGCTTAAAGTATTATACTAGAAACAACGATGATGGTAAGTAACAACGAAACAATATACACTTAACTCGAACATTTACGAGAAAATAAAAAATGTTTATCGAACTACAAACACAAAGGCTTGAAAATATTTGCAATTCATTTTGGAAAATATCATGATAGTGCAAACGTTGAAGCATGTTGCAGCGCATAAGTTTTATACTAACGATAATAGGTAGTCCTTAGTAACAGTATTCTGATTGAATGTCTGGCATATATTTCCCCAGCGTGTTGTCGAGTAACCTGCTTTGAGTAGGAATTTGCAGAAGGTGTAACGAGTACCTTCCCACGGCGACTATTATCCGTTACCCAAAATTAAACCCCTCTCACACGAACTTGAAATCCCAGACGTTATTACCGTACAATTGCTCATATCCACGGAAAATGCATTCGTCCCGTATCTTCTCGAAAGAAACTTCGTTAAACTTCTAAACTGATGCACACGGAAAGAATCATTTGAACTCTTTTTAAAGGAAAGAAATAAAAAATGAAATACATATTTATAAGGGAAGTTCTCGTTAATGAAAACGTTATTATTTATAACAAACAACTTTAGCAAGATATTCATTGCTAAATTAACCGACATCGACCTATCTCATTTACATCATCTACGAGGATAAAATATCTCTCTTTTTGTTACAATTTTCACGAGTGTTCTATCTAACCACGCGTGAGATATATTCTTGTATGCATAATGTATGTGGGTCAGCGCATAAACAAGTTTGTACGCATCAACAACCGACTATAAAGCTTTAATGTGGGCTCCCTAGTACATTTGCTAGGAAATGATGTAACCCGTTGCGAGAGACGTGAGAATTTATATGAGCAAGAACGAGAGAGAGAAAGAAACTTGCAGAAGGTAAGGAAAGGCGAAGCAAAAGCAAAAGCCTAACAGAGTAAGAGAGTAAGTGAGAGAGAGAGAGAGAGAGAGAGAAATAAAGAGAAAGGAAGAAGAAATGAGGACCAGGTGAGGCGGACAACCGGTGGTAATGGAGTCGAGAGCTGACTGTAAATAATGCGGCTTATTGTTAAATCGCCGCGGTCCCAGCATCATTAACTCTATCGCAAATCTCACAGGCGCAGCGGGTGTCATGGTAACTCTTACCTCGAGTGCGTATGCGTGTTGCGGGCACAATGCTGGCTAATGATGCCTCCAAGGCGGTACGTAGTCAAACGGACACGAAGAAAGACGGAGAGAGATGGAAGACGAAAGAAGAAAGGAAAACAGTTGGATAAACGGGAATGAAAATCAAAAAAGGATAGAAAAAGAATCGGTGTAGACTAAAGTAAATACAAACACGGTGAAACAAAAGATAGGTAGGTAGTAGGGTGATAAAGAAGAACGCGAAAAAGAGAGGTTGTTGAGAGACATATAGAAACAAAGGTGTAGAGAAATAAATAAGAGGAAGAGTTAGGCGAGACGTAAAATAAAAGGAACGAAAGGAAACTCTCGGTTCTCATATTATCGAAAGGTCCGTCAGGAGGAGCTTGATTATTATGTACTTTTGTCTCTCTCTCATTCCTTTTATATTGCGAGCTTGGTGATATGCCAGCGTCGGTGGTACCTTGTATCGAACAAATAGTCGTGCCGACCGTCATGGATATAACAAAGGCCGCCGCAGGGAATGACCCTTCATCACCCGTCAATGGTACTACTACTCCCTCTAGAAAGACCTCTTTCCTTCTCTCTTTTTATCTTCATCTTTTACACTCGAAGCTAAAGCGAAGCTTCTCTTCGTCTACCATGTATATATATATTTTCTCTTTCTCGTAACAGCTCTCCCATCCGTCTATTTACATCTCTCTCCTTCTCTTTTCTTTGACCGCACGTAGCACTACTTAACGTGTCTCACACTGTGAAAGCGCACTTCGTGCTAATGAACATCTTAATATTCACGTCAAGCTCTTCCATCTTTCCGAGCGTATAACACCTGCCTATCGGTCCATTTCGCACATACATAAGAGACTACTATTCTTAGGCTTGGAGATTGTCACTGTCGTTTATGCCAACTACCGTCATATGCTTCAACTCTGAACGGATATATTCTAGCTTTAGAAGGAGACCAAAATGATAGGGAAGCTGTTAACCTAACAGTCGATCCAACACTTTAGGGATTTCTTTCGATCGTAACGCAAATAAACGTTGTCGGTTCTGGTCCCTGTCATAATTCATATAAATAGTCAAGTTTTTCCCCTTTTCTTTCTGTCTTACTTTCTTTTCTTTCCAAAATCCTTACTAACATTTAAACTCATAGACCTATAAAATCACCCTTCGCGATTTAACTTATTCTCCAAAAGAAATCGGATCGTTTTACAGGGAAGAAGAAAAAAAAATAGAAGAATCTGAAAGAAGTGATGTCTTTTATGGCTGGCACAGGGTAGAAAATCGAAAAACTTTCGACTCTCGGGAATCATAGCGATAAGTGTGATCGATAAAGGCCGTTGATATGTGAACGACACACCGGCATCACACGGAATCGTGCTCTGGAGATATTTTTGCAACGTTGCGATCGTCATTTCGTGTTATAGCAGAGGAACGTTGTTTTTTTCGAACTCGATACGAATTTTGAAAATTATTTTATCGTATACAGTTAAACGATAATATTAATAAAATATGAATTACACGACATGCAAATGAAATGAAGCATATTCGTAAATAACAAGATACTTAATTTAAAAAGTAATAATAATGTGATAGTTTTCCAAGGAAACATTTGCGTGAATGTAACATTTGGAGAATAGTCTTTTCCCGTTTTCTTAATAAAAAGCCGGAGGCAACATGATAGGACATCTGTCCATTATGGAGAAAAGCCAAGAGCTTTGGCTCGGAGGATCATTTCCCTGATGAGTGGCGATCAGTTTCGTGGAACCGGTCCTGTATTCGCTTTATTCCGTTGGCATTGATCAGCCACTGCCGCCACTACCGCACTGTGTGCTCTTATCTAACTCAATCCAATTCGAAAGTCGAAGAAATTCCAACGTAAGGAAGCAATATCGAGCGATTTTATCTGAATGGCATTCTCTCGGTGGTATATAACCTGGGCATTTAAATAAATCCTCCAATAAACTAATGTCAATATATCTTTCTTTCTCTTTCTCTCTCTCTCGATGAAAACGAGAAATACTTGTTAACATTTTTACCAAAATAAAAATGAGAAACGAATTTGTTTGAAGTCATGAAAATAAACTTTCATTTCTGCCAAGTCTATTTCTCGTTCTCAAAAAAGAAAAAGAAATATGACCACTCGTTAGCTTTCATTTGAATTTTTACAATAACTCAAACAATGTAACTTAACATTTAATAATTCGTTGTAGGGGTAAGTTCTAATAGGGTAAACGGCTTAAGAAACTCGATGTTATTAATATATCGTGTTGGAGGAAAACGTCCAGCAGGTCATTCCAAAGAATTAAGGGAATGGTATCATTTGGCAAAGTTATACCGTTATATTTGGCCGACATGTAGCGTCGTTTTGCCGATATTACTTTGGTGGCCGATGTACTCGCGCCTTCTTTTATCTCTTTCTCTCTCAAACTACCAACTGGCGCCCTCTTTTCCCGACGAATACTACGACGACGACGACGAAGTCCGCCATATACTCCTCCAACGCCCTTCGAAAAAAGTGCTTCTGCGCCGCGCACTGTAAAGGACAGCGAGAGAAAAAAAGTAAACGGTGGAGACGATGTTAAAGAGAGGTCTCCGGGAAAAAGAGCAACCGCAATTTCGCCGCACAATCGTGTTTCTACCGGCGTAAAGAGAGATGAAAAGAGAGAAATCTGGGGGGGGGGGAGAAAGAAGAAAACATAAAGAAAGAGAGAAAGAGAGAGAAAGGAAAAGGATGGGGGTAGTTTTTGCCACGGTCAACGCTGACCGCAGCACTGGACACAGCAATACCGAGTTCCTCCCGGTTTGGCATTTTACGGAGCCATTCGAACAAGATGGTGCGTGATAATGGCGCCTTATAGAGGAAAAGCAATTTCTACCCGCAGAAACGTGGAGCTTGAAGCAGCTAGCTCTCGCACTCCTGCTGTTACTGCTGCTGCTAGTGCTGCTACTGTTACTACTACTACTACTACTACTATTTCTACTACTTGGCTACCTACCACCACACACAGTATGTTCGGCTTAGACTTTCGGCATGCCGCTGCTATTATGTCAATTCGCGCTCTCTTCGAACTAACGACGAATACGAGGATCGTTTAGACCACGACCACGCCTTTAATAAAAGGTCTGTTAGCGAAAGGATGTTCTTTTCTAAATAATCACTCTGGCTATTATGGTTCTGTTCCTTTATAGGAAACCAAAGAGTGCTTTTACACGTTTAAGAACTTACAAAATAAATTGATCATTTCTAGAAATGTAGGAGTATTCATTTATAGATAAAATATACTCATATTTAATATTATAAGAAACAACTTTAATTATATTATCGTAGAATGTTAGAGGTATATCAAAGAATTCGTTGTATCCTGGAGATTGTTGACCGTAAAACAGTGGTAGGAAGATTACAAAAAAGGGGATAAAAAATATAGAAAAAGAGAAAAAAGTTTAGACGTGTACATGTGCGGCTTTAGCGATGTTCACGAGCTTTACGAGCACAGCAGTCATGGGGTACTCGACGCACGACAGCTTTCAGCCATCGTTGTCGTCGTAGTCGTCGTTCTCGTCGTCGTCGTCGTCGTCGTCGCGTGAAAAGACCGAAGTGTAATATTTCTTTCCCACTCGACGCTGTAGGAACGACGAAGCTAGCTGTCGCTTCGTTTGCCGCCATAAATCTGGCATTTATTACGCCAGCCCGATATGTGTTTATATCCTTTATCGAAAAACGTAGATGCGTGTTGGTCCTCCTCCTCATCCTACTCCTCCTGGAAAGCGGATTAAGATTCAATGCGGATTTAGGATTATTCTATTTTTTACACGATGCATTTCTATTACAAACTACAAAGATAAAAAAGAAAAAATAACAACGAAAGGATATGATATTAAATAATACATTCTTGACATGCCATACCTCCTCGAATTGATCTGTACGATCAATAGAATACTATGATTTGTTGAATTGCTGTTGAAATTGGCTATATCTAGCCAATGACATGATCACCTTGTCTAGGTTCAATGAACTCTTCCCCATTTTTCAAATATGAAACGACATTCTATTAAATATCCTTAATGTAATAACATAAAATTTATACTAACGATCTTTTAAAAAAAAAAAAAAAGAAATCTTTGATAGAAGTTAAAAGTATGGTCGATTCGTATATATCTATTTTAAGTAAATACTTTTAACAAATTTATGAGAGACAGATATAAAAGTGGTAATCAATATCCTATGTCTGTCTTCGAGAATACAAATAGTAGGAAAATTCGAATAGAACTGTTAAGGCGAAAATTACAGTCGTTTTTAAATTCATACGAACAGAAATGACAATTATTTTTTCTTTTTACAACAGCCATATTAAACGATCTATTGCGAAATAATAAAGAGACTTATTAAAAAAAAGAATTTAAATCAAAACATCGACAGAATGTTCCTTATACGATCTTTTAATTAATTCTAATATTTTAATTAACATTCATATCATATTCATATTAAATAAAAAAATTAAAGAACAAGTTTTTTGTGTTTCTTCGTAATCCCAGAAACATATGGAAATAAGGTAACTGAAAACCAAAAAAATGAACGTCCATTTAGATATGATTAAATGTGACAAATATATCAAAACGCAAGGTAATAGAATTAAACCTTAGCCGACAGTTTCGATCGTTCCAAATCGTAGCTGGATACGATATCTGTAATAAAAAGGAAGAGATATAAAAAAGAGAAGTATGACGAACAGTATTATATCTCCTACTCGTCGTCTGTGGCCGATCTTTTAGCAACTCGCCGCAAGTCGCGACATTTGAAGAAATACTACGGATGAGAGAGAGAGAAAGAAAGAGAAGATAATAGAAACATGGTGCGATGGAAGAAGAAGAAGTAAAAGAAGAAGGGGGTAAAAGGTAGATAGGTAGGTAGGTGGGTAGGTAGGTAGTAGGGGGATGTAGAAGGCTACCAGATATAAATTTCCTGATATTCGACCGTTCGTGTCGTTTGAAATGGGGCAGTTTTCTCGGGACCTAATGGTTATTGCCTTTCTCGGCGGACATATTGCGTTCCATCCAATGCAATGTGTGCGGCCGATATATCAGGGCTCTTCGCTCTCTCGGGTCGTACTCTCTCATTCTCTCTTTCGAATAAGGGTAGCTAGCTAGCTGTCGGTCGGGGGCGTGGATGAGAGCGAGAGAGAGCAAGAGAGAGAGAGAGAGAGAGAGAGAGAGAAGGGATCGAGCCGAAAGGAGGAGGAGGGGTAAAGGATAGAAGTGGGAGAGATGTCGAGCGCGCAGTTACCGGAAAGCCTTCCACAACGGAGCAACGGCAGTCTGCCGCGTGGTGGTCGTGCCCTGCCAGACTGCAGACGGGAAGTGGCCGAGGTGTGGCCGCGGAGTTGAATTATTACAAGCTGCCCCGCCATTCATACAGGATGTATGCTACCCCAGCCCCCCATCCACCCCCTGCCCCAAACCCGCGACCGTAAATCTTCGATGCTACGTCAGCCCTCGACTTCTCGCGCAAAATCCACCCCTACACCTCCTCCTATCTCTCTTATGACCTCTTATTATCGTACGTAAGCATGAGGGGGATTTCTATGACATAACTTTGACTTATCCCACTGATCGCCCAGCCCTTAGCCGATTTTTCAATCCCCATTTTCACGAGTTTTGTGTTGCTCCTCCCCTACTTGGTTATTTTTTTCTACTCTTTCGACGATTCATTGACTGTGATTAATGATCCCTCTGGATGATTCGATTGATACTCGAGATTCCTATAAGAGAGAACGCTCAGTCATTTAAAATATCGATGGATAAGTATTTATGGTTGGAAAAATGATTGCTAACGTTGTTAGGAAAAGTAGTGATAAGATTACAATGAGGTAAAAAATGTGTTCACTTTTATGAAAATGTTCCGTGAACCGGTTACCAAGCAATCTTAAGATTATCCTAAGGAAAATCGATAAGCGACGTTTTAGGATCGTCCTTTCTCATTACGATAACGCGCTTCTGATATAAGGGAGATGAGAAGGTTAGAAATGGAAGTCTCGTTTCCGTTTTAGAGTTTGCTGCTACTACCGGGGGGCACGCTTTAAACGCGGGTACAGTCCGCGAAAAGCTTTTAAAGTCTGAAATATTCAACGAGTCCGTCGGCGTTTCCATCGGAATATACACTCTCAGAAAGCAGATCGTAGTGATAAAAATGTGGATTGAGGAAACGCGGAAAAGGACGAGAAAAGAAGTAAAGAAAGAAGGAAAGAAAGAAAGATCGTCGTTGAACCGCTCCGAAACGAGCTGTCCGGCAAAGCGGTACCAACCAGTTAGCAGATTCCAGAGATCCGGTAGCAAATGCCGTACAATCTTGAGTTCTCTCTGTTGGTGGAATAGGACAGGGTATAAGCTGTCTAAAGATGCCGAGCACGTATCGACAAGCTGGTCACCGACGCGCGCGCTCGATCCTAACCTCAAATAGAAAAAAATAAAAGAAGGAGAAAGAAGAGGTTTTTCCTTGCCGCGCTTACACACAAGCCGCCACCTTTTTCCCCACTCCTCCTCCTCCTCCTCCACCGTCTTTTCTCTATCCTCAGCCATTACTATATTCAAGCTCTTTTACAACGGTCAGCGCTCTCTGATGTTCGAACAAATCTCAACGGCGGCGACTATACTCCTCTCCTCGCGCGTACTCCAATTTAACTAAATCCTTTCCGTTTTCTCCTGCTCCTACTCTTTCCTGGCTCCTTCTTATCCTTTTCCTTTTCCTTTTCCTCTTTCCTCTTTCTGTTCCTTTAACGGCGTAACCTACCGCTTCTTCTACCTCCCTCCTTGCCCCTTTTACCGCCACGCTCGACGAGAGAGAGCCCATACGCGAAGATAAGATTGGAAAAGTTGTATGAGGGGCAACTTTAACAGCTATATAACCATTACAGTGCCGATAAAGTGGAATCTAGTGTCTTAACGGTCTGGAACGAAATTCCAGATATAGCATCGTATATTCCAATGGAGTTAAACACGACGTTCAGATACTGCTTTTCTACCCGTTCCCTCTCTCAAGCTACGCGACGGTTTATTGACCGATAGATCCCTACAATATCGGAATTCTTCCGTCGGTATCTCGCGTTACGCGCCTTTTATGAATTCTCCGTTTTCTCCCATAAAGGTTACTCTCTCTCTCTCTCTCTCTCTCTCTTTCTCTCTCTCTCTTTCTGACGAACATACGTTTATCTTCAATAATTTTGCTCCATAAGATTAAGATCTCTTCTCTCAATATTTTCTTTCTTATCGTTTTAAAACCGTTATCGCTAAAGATTAGAATGTGATCATAACGTTTCCTATCTTTTTTATATCAATAATAGAAATATCATTCTTAACATCGTTAGAATTTATTAGGGTGATATAAATTTTCAATGAAATTCTAATTTGAAAAATAATCACCTTTTAAACATTATATTGATGTAACATGAATATGTATTATAGATAGATGTTTATGCATAAACACGTATAGTAGTTGTCTATGTTATATACGTATATACCTACACTTAAGAAGACGGAAACAAAATGAGTGAATGAAAAATAAAAAGAGAGAGAGTATGGGATATGGTAAAACGTGTTTGTGCTTCGGGCTAAGCTTGCCATAACTCACCAACAGGACTGACAGCTTGCATAATACCCGCGAAATTGGTTTTATAAGACGACGCCGAGCACTGCTTCACAACAATGCCATAAACGCTCTGGGTAAATTACGATTCAGTGGCGCAAAAACCTTGGAGGGGAGAAACGTTGTATGCGTAGGTAGAACGTTATTCTCGGTGTACACTCTCTCTCACTCTCTTTCTCTCTCTCTCTCAGTCAGTCTTGGTTAAACAGAAAGAAAAAGGGAAAAGAAAAAAGAAAAATATTTAACAACGGCGCTTCTCTTCGAATATATTTGCGCAATGAGAATAGCATTCGCACATTTTATATCAATGCTATTTAACGCCTACTTCCTTTTATTTCTCTTATCATCTTATAAACGAACGAAAAAGTATCCGTAAACACTTAGACAACAGGTATCTCGAATATTCAAACTCTGAGAAACGAGTAATGATCCATATGAGTTTTACGATTTATGAATAATCAGCGAGCAATGATACGATGATAGAAACAAGAGTGAGAGAGAGAGAGAAGAAAAGTAAAATTATGATATGAAAGAAAAATGTCTTTGTTAGGAAACGTCTTCGAGTCATAGGACTTTATACCGACGAAAGACGCTGAGTTGAAATTTATAGTTTTGTGAGAGAGAGAGATAGAAAGAGTCAATGTTTTCTACGGGATGTGCTCACGTATGCTATGATTAATGGCCGTATCATAATTCCACGCAGGTGAAGTCATTCAGTGCGCTACCCTACACGTTCGAGGAGTCTTCATTCTCGTGTCACAACGAAGAATTATTATCTTTCTTTCTCTCTTTCTCTTACTATCACAGTTTTAGGAGGGATACATAAAGCATTCGCGGAAACGGTAAAAGGAAAGAACAAAAAGGATACATACACACACACACACACACGTGTGAGAGATATCCACGTTCGTTCACTTTGATTTAGCAAAGCTTGTAAATCTTACGTTTACCGCGAAAGGAATTAGATGTACAAGGCGCGAATATAAATTCGTGAATGCGATAAAACCCGTTGACCGTAGGCGACAACGAGTTCGATTAAAACGTATTGGCAGGCTTGCGTTCAACGAAATCACGCGAAACGAGATTTTACGGAGCGTGGGCGTTCAGCAATACTCTGTCATCACATTTGATACTTTTCATTTTGTAGTATACGAAAAATTAGAACGGGAATTAAATCAATACGTTCGATAAAGGATCAAAAATATAATCTATTCAACTTCTTGTATTTTAATCAATTTGTGAATACGGTCAGGATTGCAAAAAAAAAAAAGAAGAAATAAAATATTATCGTTAAAATTTTCCAATCAATTATATATGCCGATTAGATTCGAATGAAACTTTCAGGTAGATTTGTAACGAGTGATTAAAAATTGATGATTAATGAAAAGATAAACAAAAAAATGTAATAAAAATGAAATGAAAGCTTTCAAAGACGGTACACCTAAGCTTCATATCCACATAATGTAAAAGAAAAATGAAGTAGGAAAGTGGCATTCTGGTCGTAAACTCGTGAAGCTCCGAGCCAAGAGCTCTTTCTCCTTCTCTTTAGTGAGGTAGAAAAGAGGGAAAGGGAGAGAAGGAAGGAAGGTCGTATCGAAGATTACAGTCAGTCGTTATTTTGTACACGCGCGATAATCATAAAGCTCGCACAAAGAACCATTATAGTTAGGCGGGTGCGCGCGTGCGCTCGCGCTATACCGAGGAGGGTCCATCCATGGGTAGTAGAAAAGGGCACACGATAAAACGCGTACGAAAACTGCCCGAAGATCACCCTTATACTTCGTGGTAAGTAGCGGCTATGAGTCGGTTGGATGTGCACGGGCATCGTTGTAAGTTCGCCTGCAAACGACGGAATTATTCAAATGGTTCTCGTGGTTGCAAACGGTTCCGCGTACGTTACCGTGGTGACGACAAGAGAGCGTGAGAGAGTGTGCAAATATATATATATAGATACACGTGAAACGAGCAAAATGCAAGCGCGTTCCAACACAACCGAGGATAGTAACTCTAGCGGTACAATAAAAAGAAAAAAAAAAGGCTTTTGGATATTTCTCTAGCGATAAATTGCCGTCGATATCGTGGCCAATTTCCTGAATGCGTTTAAGATGTACCCGTATCCCCCGACGTTTGCTTGCCGTACTACCGGAGTCGATAATATACGACTTGACAGTTTAGACGCGATATATTTCCTCGCCATCGGTAAAGGCTTACAGTAATACGAGCTGGAATCAACCAAAACACTTGCAAACATTTCTAAATAGTTTATAAACTTCTTCTTTTTTTTTCTTGTCCTATCATTAAGCAACTCGAAGAAAAATTAATAAATAATATGTTTTTTTTTTTTTTAATGCGTTCTCTCTTCTTAAATATCGCGAGCACTTTTTGTATCCGAAACATGACAGACCTTTGGAAAATTAATCGATCGCTATTCCTATATGCAATTCCAAAACCCGACAGAAATTCCAAACGTTAATGGTACGTTTGAAAACGGGTCATTCATAAAAAGAAAAAAAGAAAAAATAAAAAAGAAAAAAGAAAAAAAAAGGTTGTCTGGCAGCTCGGGCCAGCGTATATTTAAATTAGAGTTCGTGTTATGAGCATGTAAAGCGACGAAGCGCAGAGTCATTACACGACCGTGCCCAGCAGTCATTATGTTCGTTCTGATTTGCTCCGCTCATTCACGATCATTCCGGCGTCATGTCGATGAAAAATGAACGATCGTTCGTCCCGCGATAATGGCTATCCCACTTTATACGTGTATACGTACATACATACATATGTATATGTACTCGTATAGATAGGAACGAATCGACGCGCATCGATCCTCACGTTTCCACTTTGAACAAAACCGTTAACGTCACTCGCCGTGAATCCGCTTCAATACGTTGCACAGCTAAAATATTCTCAATGTGGTAGTTTAAAACACGTTCGTCCCTTTAGCATCTCCTGATATAGCAAAGAGAAAAGGTAACATCAATTTGAGATTCTAAACGTGCAACAAGACAAATTTTCAATATCGAAGTGAACTTAGAGAAAAAAAGAAACGGGTAGGAAGAAATGAATAGCCTAACGGTGATTTACCGAGCATCAGATTACCCTGTGCAACCCTTACATCACTAACCCCTTTAGCAATCCATGGAAAGTTGACGTATAAAGCAACGCATACGGCCGCCCACGCCGCAATAAACGAGCCAATTAATATTGTTTCCCTCGGCAGGCCTCTGCTGTCCTTGACGCCTCCCCGGTTCATCCTTGCTTACGGCTGAATAATTACGGCAACATCCGGTGGATGAAGGATCGTGATAAGTCGACATTACCGACCGACTAAACTCTAGAACAAACGATCGAAAATCAGAAGGGACGATGTTTCCTTGAGTTTTCCCTCTATACGTATACTCATGCAATAAACTTTTCCAATTGAAGTTAATCTTTAATTCATTTAATATATTTATAAACTACTTGTTTTAAAAATAAACAAACATTCACGCATTCATATTTTTGAATTTCAATCTTTTTCACGTGGACGAATTAATCTTTAGAGACGCTTTTAAAGAAAGTCTGCTAAATCGAATGACGGTAAACTGTTAAGCCCTTAGGCATTGAACCTTGTTAAAGAGATAATTAAGTCGCCTCGCAAATTTTCCTTGGCGAGACGAACTCCAGAAAGAATACCCGGCGCCTTTCTCTTTTTCATTATCCGAAATATCGGTGGTGCAGCTCACGAAATTTCGCCGTAGCCCATAACAGAAACCCTACAATCGCCGGACGGTCTTTCATAAATATTTAAATCGCTTACCCATCGGCGCTTACAATAAATCTGCCTTTATGCTCTCCAAAGGCATGCCTTAATCATAAGCATGGGCATAAAATTCAACTTGCATTAAGAAATGTTACATCGTCGTTGCCATCGTATATTAGAAAACAGTAGTCCAAGCTTTCTCGATTCTTTATAGGCCAGGTCTACGAGCAAAACCATTCGAACGATAATAGATATTTCTTTTTGCAATTAGTATAAATATACTAAATTTATTACGAAAATAAGAAGAAAAGACAATGAATCGATTAAATTGTATTACCTTTCGAAGAATCCGGAAGTATTATATAAAAAGAATAAAGTTGAAGAACTAGAATAAAAATAAAAAGAAAAAGAGGATCGTAACACGGCAGTGATTCTGGCACTCGCACCGATGTTAGTAATCTCCATCAGACTTGGCGTTGTTTTAATGCGCTGCGTGATTCTGTACCGGTCTGCTTGATGAGCCTTCCTAATAACCAGTCGCTCACACGTCTGCCCTTCTCTTCCCTTCGAACACCCTCGACATCGGGCTCGCACCACCTACACGAACCGACCCCTTCTCGACGAGCTGCGAAACTGTGGCATGTCGGCTTCGCATCAATCTTGTTAAATTACCCGCCGGGCCAGGAGTCGTTCTTTCGCTCGTGGATTGATAAATTGCCCGATCCCGTCTTCCGCAGACACGTAACGCTCGACCTCGAGACAAGAGAGCGAATCAACGAGAAAGACAGCGAGAAAGGAACAGAGAGAGAGAGAGAGAAATAGCAAGAGAGACAATCAGAGAAAGAGAGAGAGAGTCAGGTCCGAAATGCGGCGAAGAAAATCAAATTAACGTACACGGCTTCTCTGGTTTCTGACGCTCCGGATCTCTACGGTTATCCGCATTTGAAACCACTGCCAAACTGTCCTTCAACGATCAAGACAGCTGAGTCTACGGTCGCGAGGTCGATGATAGATCGTAGCTTACTGGAAAGGCATCTATTATGGCCGTCCTACAGGATTGAGTGATTATAGGTTTAAGAACGTAACCTCCTTGCGTTCCTTTCTTCCATCAAACGTTCTTCCTTCATCACGTGGCTAACTTAATATCAAACCAACTGAAGAAGACTCAATCAATCGATTTCTTTTAATTCTACAAGAACGAAACGTGAACAAAGTCACGTTGCAGTGATTTCCATTTCTTTATTACCTCGGAAACATTAATCGTGATTTGATGGTATAACATAAAACACTTTTCATATTATTATAGCAATTTTACGTTTACATTAGATGAAACGTATCTTGGTTTCGTGAATACCCAGCTTTAATTTACGAGCTGGTATCCAACTCACGATCCACGTTATCTGCTTACCTCAGATCTCAGCATCTTACAGACTCGTCTGAGTCGGAACGCGTCCAATCGCCTTCGGCTTCACGATATGAAGATAACTATCGGCTCGTAACACCTCTTGACTGTGCCGAGAAGGAGCGTATGTGTTGCAAATAGAGAGAAGGAGAGAGAGAGAGAGAGAGAGAGAAAGATGGGTATCCACCTAGACTTGGATCTCGGAATAAGATAGAAAGAAGGCCAACTAAGCCATTGCTGATAGCGTCTCTAAGCTCATGTGGACCGAACAGCTCGTGAAGCGCCACTGGCTAATGGTTGGTCCGCGGCTTTAACACGACAACGCAACCATGTTGAGTCGGACCAAGGTAATCCTTACATATGGCTCAGAGATTCTGTAGGATTAGGAAGGCGCGAACCCATTGTGTGTTCCCTTCCTCGTTTCAACTTGCTCCATTCGTCGAACAGCTTCCTGCACCTTGCTAAGTTCTCGACATTACAAACATCACATTCAGAACACCGATTAGAAGATATCCTCTCTCTCTCTCTCTCTGTCTCTCTTTGAAAACGTTTTACTCTTGATTTATCAATTCTTTAAACGATGTCGAGTAAGAGAACACCACGTTTCTCTTACACAACTTCATGAATTTATTACTAGATTCTTGTAAGAAATTTAATGCACGGAAGATTGAAGGTAACTGCAAAAAAAAATCGCAGAACAATTTTATTAGCTGTTGAAATTCCTAACACGAGACAACGATACACAAGTATCTTCTACAGGTGAATTGGTTGAGTCAAGGAAAGCATTGAGTTTCGGTCATTGATCAATTGGTTTCTTGAATCTTTTACAGAGGAGCACGCGCGCGCTCACGCCTTCGGGAATCAAGTGGCTAAGAACGGAGATACATAAATATTCAAGGCTCGTTTTTGCACAATACGCAAAGTGGTAGCTATAACGTATCGTAGCTGGTCCGTACACCCCGGCAGGATTCTCGAATGATAAATGGCTTTTGGTGAACTGGTTAATGAGTCGGGCTAGACTGACTTATATAACGACCCTACCTTGAATTTTCCAGCGCGAAACGAGTCGGTACTCTCCTTCTCTTTCTTGATTCTCTATAAGTGAGAAAGAAAGAGAGAGAGAAAGCTAAAAAGGACGCTATGCAATGCGCGGGAGTAGCCCGCGCGTATCATCGTTACAACTCCCCGCTCATTATTCAAACTTACCGCGTTCCATCTATCTCAGTTTTACATCGCAAGGAGGATGTGAGCTGCGTGACGACGTCGTACCGGCTCGAGAGATCTCCCGGCATGCATTATTCAAAATTTCATATTGAAATTGCACGAGCAACGGCGGTATACTCGGCTACTGCCGCCGTCGTCCTCGTCGTCGTCGTCGTCGTTGGCAGCGTACAAGGAAATGGAAACACGTTTTATCTTTCGTCATAGCGACAGCCAACAGTCAACGTCGTCATTCTTGACAGAGAGATGCTCCTGCTGTATTATTTTATATCTTACAAATATACTTGCCATCTTCTCCAGCAGGCACGCCGATTGAATGTGTTTCGTCCCTCGTAAAAACATGGGCATTTGCCTAACAAACCATCCATCCCATATTTTTCACTTCCAACCTTTTTCCTTTTCCTTTTCTTCCTTTCTCTCTGTTTTCTCGCTTTCTCGCACGTCGTCAATGCGAAGATATACAGCGGAGTAAATAATTAATTACCCATCTCCGCGCGTCGCGCAAAAACAGACCAGAGGAAACAATTAGCCCGTGAAACCGGTTGATTAAATGCTACTCCGAGGTGATATTTAACGCCGATGAAGATGTGGGCTCTTGAATACCAAGTATTCTTAACATAGTATACCTTCTTAACGAACATCCCATCTCGTCCAGGTGGATATTATCAAATCGAAAAAATTCATGAATGAAATAAATATGAACTTGTCTACTTTAGCTAGACGTTTGATACTATGAGTAGCGAAATGGGAAAAGGTCAATCGCGAAATTGTGTCAACATCGCATTGAGCAACTCCGCGCTTCCATTCCTTAGTTACGGTAACGCATGGCCATTACCTCGTTTATTGTCCCTCCGGTGACGTAATGCCAAGGTGCGTACCCATACCTGTTTCGAATAATGCACACGGCGAACAATGACATGCGGTGATGTATATGGGTTACGGGTCTAGCAGCTGTTGCTCTCGACAACTGGTTCCTCACACTCCTGTGAGCACTCACAATATCACAATGACGTGCAAGCACTTGTGACAGCATCGTGTGGGTACTACATACTACATTGGAGTTTGTATTACAAGCGCTTGGCTGCACGCAAGGATGGCGAGAGCGACTCTTGACGGTCGCCTCGTAAAACGTGCGCCCGTGCGCCCGCGCGCGCCTACGACCACTGCCTCTGCCTCTTCGTGTCGAATGTTGGCCCATACTCTCTCTCTCTCTCTCTCTCTCTCTCTCTCTCTCTCTCTTTTTCTCTAGTACCAGGAGAATAGATATTTCCAAATGAAACGAGCACGAAAAGCATAGGGTGCACCTTCCATTTAGAGAGAGACTTTCGCCTTTTGTTGGCCGATATAAAAGAAGCATCGTTATTTTCGATTTGTCTACTTGAGCTACTTCGAAACACGACACCCTACGAGGAGAATCATGAAAAGCCCCAAGAGAAAATCTGATGTTTCGCGATACGCGTCAATCTTCCTGACGCTTCGTTGAGTACTAATTATGAGTTCTTGAAAAGCGAAAGCCATGGGTGGCGAGTAACTACGTTAAACATTTCTTTTTTTTTCTTTTTTTCTTTTTTTCTTTTTTTAGTCGAGAGCAACGATTGTTTCCGGCGGTATAATTCCGAGCATTTAACCATTCCCTTCGCTCCAATAGTTTGCTCGCAGTTATATGGCTCAGGGAATTGTTCGAAATGAATTTATCTTATGAAATGAGAATGATTAAAATAGAAAATAATATAAACTCCATTATTCATTTTTTTTGTTCATTCTTCTTTATTTATTTTTTTCGGACAATCCCCAACAACGTGTCTGATCGATTAATGAATTTAACAAGACTCGCGCGCGAATTCACCGCGATTCAACGAGAAGTTCAATTTAGGTGGATACCACAGATAGACCCTTTCACGTCGAACTTAATGTACTATGGTTTGTAAACCCTTGACAGCTTTACCCTTCTCGATAGCCATGCGCACGCTGCTGTAGGGTCGTATTCCCGTGCTATCGAGCCTGGATCACATCACGTCGCGTCGGATCGCGTTACGCTCTCGACACTGATCGGAGATTAGCGCTCGCCCAGTTCCTCTCTCTCTCTCCCTTGCCTCTCCCTTTCTCCATACCCCGTCATCCTCTTTCTTGCACTACCCACCATCCATCCAATCGCATTCAAATCACGTACAAAGAGCTCAACTTGAGAAGTTCTCTCATGGTAACCGCACTGCTGGTGTGCCTTGGACTATCTGACAGCCGTATCTAACGGATTTTTAACGACCCTTTGTTAGCCAAAAAGAGCGTAAGCACCTGATAGTCCCGAACGCGTTGTCGTTTTCTCTTACCTTACCTTACTAACGTTGAAAAAAAACCTCACAAGAAAGAAATAGAGGGAAAGAGAAGCTTGATCGGATGTGCCGGGATGAGATCTCATCCCGGAGATAGCCACTTAGTAGATCGGCTTTGAAACGCGAGATGCGTAAAGAGTTCCTCGCCATTTTTTCTTTCCTTACTGCTGTTGAGGAGTTCCAAAGTGTGGACAAGAAAGAGAATGAGAATGAATGAGAGATAGTAGATACCACGGTATACTGGATAAAATTCGTCCAAGAAATATGTAAAACGAGTCGAGAAATGATATTTTTTTCCATGGGTTTAACGTCGATGGCGATTCAACCGATGGATTTATTAATCTTTCGCTTTTATGCCTTTCGCGAGAACTGCCACTCTCTTTTGAATTATCCATGGGAGAATTATACGAAACAAGTTTTAAGGGGAACTTCTTTCGGCAGTTTAATGCCTCGGGAAGGCGACTCCATGGAATTCTTAAAACATCGAGTCTCGAATCAACTCGGAATGGAATTGTGCTTCTATAAAATTACTTTTTTTTTCTTTTTACATTAATGTTTTCAAAAACTTCTACCTATGTCGTTTCTAATATTTGTTTTTTGTCAAAAGGAGTTCAATATTAATGTACAATCTTTTTCTATCAAATTCTTAAAATAAATAAAATTAAATATACATTTTTTAAATAAAAGGGCTGCAGATTAAACTGTATTAAATATTACACGACATTACTAACTATCCTCCAAATCACTTTGAAAGATTATTCATTAGTA